AGAGAGAGAGAGAGAGAGAGAGAGAGAGAGAGAGAGAGAGAGAGAGAGAGAGAGAGAGAGATGTCAACTTTACCTTGCAAGGAGTCCTTGTTGCCTGGCAAATACAATCCAAAAGGTTTTGAAACATAGCGACCAGCCAGAGCAGAGGTCATCAGCAAATCAAAGCAATACACGTCAGCAATGTCAAAAATATACTTGCCCTCAGCGGGAGAGTTTCTGCCCGCAACGACACGAGACTTCCTATTTTGTGAACAGAGGAGCATTATGCATATGAAAATATTACACAATGGACTCACGACATCAAAGCTAGCTGGACAGAGACCCTCTCACAACAACTGTATTCAGATGGAACATCACTATGAATTGTCGCATGTCCGTAATTCAATAAAATCACAAGAAAATTTTATATCTTTCGAAGAATACTCAGAATAGGCTGAAGATATTTAAATCATATTTTGCTTGTGCAGTTTGAAAAACGTCGATAGCAAGGGCAGTGTCTATACTCACCTGACAGCATGCCATAGCAAGAATGAAAATAGGATTCACAGTCACAGCTTGAGCAGGTAAGGAAACGAGCACTGCATACTGCAAAGTTTTCTGGTGGGGGGGGTCATTGTTGCCTGCGTGTCCGGTCATTCGTACGAGGAAGAATTCAACTGAAATGAAATGACTGAATAACTATTTCGAACCTACGCTACCAGCCGGGCCGCACGGATCAATTTGTTTGCCCGGTTGTCCCTGCAATGAACCTCTTAGTTCAACACCAATGAGCGCACATAATCTCCAGATGCATGTATGAGATCACACGAGAGTCACGCTGAAAAAACAGAGAGATTAAGACCAGTCAAAACGCAGCTTATGAATTCCAACAAGCTAAACAAGAGCAATAAGAGTTCCGAGTCACCAGCGCACAACAGCGCATAACATAGGTAACCAAACATCCAACATGATCACCCAGGTAAGCATCTTCTTCCTCCCTTCTCTTCTCTCTCTGTTGTATCACCCCTCCTTGCTGGTCTTCTCCCTAGCTTATGACCTCGCTGAATCTTCTCTCCCTACATGGATGCACACTCACACTAACTTCTACTCAAAGATCTACCCTGAATACACCCACTGACAACTCTACTAATCCCTCTGAAGTCTACTACTAACTGCTAGTACTAACACTTGTGCACTGGCGCAGCTATGGCTGCCTTCTCCCTGGCAGCGCTATCTTCCTCTCTCTTCCTCACTTAGCGCAGCACTCTGGCCTCAGCGCTCTGCTCCTCACTTCAGCGTACAAGTGCACCGGCACTTCCACACTTCTTGCGAATGAGCAATCTGACTGAATGTGAGGCTGGACAGTCCTTTTGTAGTCTTGGTTTGCACTTCAACTCGTGCCAGCCTCTGTTTCTTGGGTCCCGACTGGTTCCTGTACCACATCCCCACGACCTGTCTGCTACTGACTGCCAAGGCCTGGAACCTTCCCGAATTTCCATTGGACTGCTGCTGCTTGGGCCTTTGAGTCGTGACTTTTCACTTGTGAACATGACTTTTGACTGTGGACAGTGACTCTTGCCTGTGGGTCACGACTTTTGCCTGTGATACTACCTTTTGCTCATGGGATGTGTCTCTTAAGTATGACTTTTCATTAGGAAACGTGACTCCTGCCTTTTAGACATGACTCTTGCTTGGTGAATCTGCCTTTTCACTCGTGGGATGTGACTCTTCTGAATGGCTTTTTATTATGAGACGTGACTCTTGTCCCCGAGACGGGACTGTTTGCTGGGTGCCTGTTGGACCAGACTGCTGAGGTACCCGATTGTGACTTTTCTGAGTTTGACGAACTCGGCCTTTCCTTGACCTGGGCATCTGACCCTGAGGTCCAAATCTGGGGTCTGAATCGTGGAAGGCCTTTCAGCCCCGCCATGCAAGGACCAAAAAAGGGCCCAGGCAAAAAAAAAGAAAAAAAAAAAGAGAAAAAAAAAATGTTACGCAGAAAAAGTAAAGTAAACTGAACAACTTTTGCCTCAGGGTCACATCGAAATTCTTTAGCACTTTTTTTTCTTTTTTTTTTGGCCCGGCCGGGCACGCGGTCGCGGGCCACTCTGGTAGCCTAGTTTCCAACAAAGTTCTTAAAACAAAAGGACAATGAGAACTAACAGGGGAGGGCATGGCGGGCTTCAATGATCAATCTCCCAGAAATAATCAGCACACGGCAAAGACTGCCAAGTGTCATCTCAGCCATCAGGGAGATGGAAACCACATAGGGATCTGGATAAGCAACTTACTTCTCAGGTGCCTGCTTTCTTGGCCAGAGGAGGAAAAGTCCGATGAGCACGACGACACTACCAATTATCTGCAGAGGCACATGATTCAGATTCCAACAAGAAGAGGGGTAAAATCAGCAAAGGTATCCCAACGTAAAGGGTATTCGAGAAATAAGCATTGAACAGCCAACTGCTAGTCCCCTCCAAGAAGTAGGCGACAATACACTAAGCAGAGAGCCCAGCGGTCGCGGTGACAGAGAGAAAAGGATCCCAAACAAATGCTCTGCTCTCTGGCATTCCAATCCTGCACAACTTTCTTGTATTTACAAAAAAAAAGAAAAAAGGGAAAAAGGAAAAAGGAAAAAGGAAAAAAAAAAACACAAAATCAGTGCCATAGTGTCTCTGTCGCATACCGTAATGGTGCAGACCAGAACAAGAACTGACCTCTCTCACATAGTACAGGATAGCGCAGCGGAAGGCTAAAATACCATGATCAGACCAATCAATGTCGCAATGCAGACCAAACATACATCATCATCATCGCAAGGTGTGAAGGTGCCTGGCGCTACACACAGGAAGAATGCGCCAGGCCCAGATCATACACAGACGAAGAGGAGGGGATCAGACGAGGAGGAGGGAGAAGATGAGAATGTCGTCAACACCGATGTTGTTGATATTGATCCCAAATAGTCTCCCATCAATGTCTCTGTCCCAAGGTTGAGTCTGTATCCAAATGTTGTCAACATCCCGAAGTAAAAAATCTCTCTCTCTCTCTCTCTCTCTCTCTCTAGTAGTCTGCCGATACTGAGAAGTCAGGTAGCTGGAGGGTGAGGAAGAGATGGACAGGAGGAAGAGGAAGACGAAGAACTCTCTCTCTCTCTCTCTGTGTGTGTGCCAGGTACTAACCTGCGAAGGTGGCGCCTTGCTGCAGGTACCTCGAAGACGAAGCTGGAGCTATGGCGTCACAGGTAAGTCTCCCTGGCCTCCGCCACTCTCCTCTCTCTCTAATGCTGCTCTGAGCGCCCAGCGCTGAAGACTACTCCTATCTCCTACTACTGCAGCGCTCCGCCGAGTGCTGCTGCGGAGTGCCCGAAGACTGCCTCCTGAACTGCCTGTGCCCTCCCGGGCGGACCAGTACTATATAGTGCTGGTCCGGCTGGGAGGCTGCTCTTGCCAATGCCGAAACGTGCCAGACCCTGGCGCCCAAGTTCAAAAAAAAGGTTGTCTTGAAACGGGCCTAAAAACGGCCTGCGCTTATCCCCGGTCTGGCGCCTAAGTTTCAGGACGGGTCGACTTTATGAGGGCCTAGCATTGGCCCTCCTTTTAGGCTGAAACGACACAGGGCCTGGAGGGCCCTGACTTATCCCTTGTTCCACCTGGTCGGGGCCTGCACGCCCGTGTGGTGCGCAGCATGCCACAGTCTCGGTGACAAACCAGAAAACATTTTGAAAATATTGAAATTGAAAAAGATAAAAGAAAAAGGAACAATCACCAAACCCCGATCACCAAGGCTACCAGCTGGGCTGCCCGGGGTCACCTGGTTTGCCCGGGCAGCCTGGCCGTGCAAGGACGAAAGAAGGTCCCAGCAAAAAAAAAAAAAAGTTCCAAAAAATCTGAAAAACAAATATGTTACGCAAAGAAATAAACTGAACAGCTTTTGCCTCAGGGTCACATCGCAATTCTTTACTAAATTTAAACTATATATATATCGTCAAATAGAACTGCCCAGTAATATATATATATATATTGTCACAGAACTATTGACTAAGAGCATGAGCATGTGAAGTAGAAGAAGAAATAAGATGAGCAAAGAAAAGAAAAATGAAAGGAAAGACAGGCAAAGAGACAGACAAACCAGAATGACACTTTGTTTCACAGTATTATTATTTCTTTCAGTCTTTTACAAAAATTATTTACACTGAATCAAAGGATCAAAAACAAAGACACATTGAAATCATTCAGTTTCTCAGTCTTCTTA